CTTTTCGAACGAGGTATGGGCATTACGAATATTCTGTTATGCCGTTCGGAGTTACTAATGCACCTGGTGTTTTCATGGAATATATGAACAGGATTTTTCATCCGTATCTGGATAAGTTTGTTGTGGTTTTTATTGATGACATTCTGATTTATTCCAAGAATGACGAAGAACATGCGGAACATCTCAGAATTGTGTTAGAGTTGTTGAAAGATAGGAAGTTGTATGCAAAGTTGTCCAAATGTGAGTTCTGGCTGAATGAAGTTAGTTTTCTTGGACATGTGATTTCTAAGAATGGTATTGCAGTGGATCCTACAAAAGTAGAAGCAGTATCTCAGTGGGAAGCGCCGAAGACTGTTTCGGAAATCAGAAGTTTTCTTGGTCTTGCAGGTTATTACAGAAAATTTATCGAAGGATTCTCAAAGTTAGCATTGCCGTTGACAAAGTTGACTCGTAAAGGACAAGCGTTTATTTGGGATTCTGATTGTGAGAAAGGTTTCCAAGAATTGAAGCGGAGATTGACTAGTGCTCCTATTCTGATTTTGCCGAATCTGGTGGAATCTTTTGTGGTCTATTGTGATGCATCTCTGTTGGGTTTAGGTGGTGTTTTAATGCAGAATCAACAGGTAGTTGCGTATGCTTCGAGGCAGTTGAAGGTTCATGAAAGGAACTATCCTACTCATGACTTAGAACTGGCAGCAGTTGTGTTTGTCTTGAAATTGTGGAGACATTATCTGTATGGTTCGAGATTTGAAGTGTATAGCGATCATAAGAGTTTGAAGTACCTTTTCGATCAGAAAGAGCTCAATATGAGGCAAAGAAGGTGGTTGGAATTTCTCAAAGATTATGATTTTGGTTTGAATTACCATCCTGGTAAGGCAAATGTAGTTGCAGATGCTTTGAGCAGGAAGTCCTTGCATATGTCTATGATGATGGTTCGTGAATTGGATTTAATTGAACAATTCCGAGATTTGAGTTTAGTTTGTGAAAGTACTCCGAAGTGTGTTCGTTTGGGTATGTTGAAACTTACTAGTGGTATTCTAGAAGAGATCAGGATCGGGCAGAAATCTGATGTTAATTTAGTTGATAAATTGACATTGATCAACCAAGGTCAAGGTGGTGAGTTTAGGATTGATGAAAATGATGTTATGAGATTTGGCAATAGAGTTTGTGTTCCTGATGTCGCAGAAATCAAGAAGAGTATATTAGAGGAAGGACATCGCAGTGGGATGAGTATTCATCCGGGTGCCACGAAAATGTATCATGACTTGAAGAAATTGTTTTGGTGGCCGGGAATGAAAAAGGAAATAGCTGAATTTGTGTATGCATGTTTAATCTGTCAGAAATCGAAGATTGAGCATCAGAAGCCGTCTGGATTTATGCAACCAATGTTTATTCCAGAATGGAAGTGGGATAGTATTTCTATGGATTTTGTATCTGGGTTGCCGAGGACTCCTACGAATTGTGAAGCAATATGGGTCGTTGTGGATAGGTTGACTAAGTCTGCTCATTTTATACCGGTGCGAATGGATTACTCGATGGAGAGATTGGCACAGTTATATATTGAGAAAATAGTGAGTTTGCATGGAGTTCCTTCTAGTATTGTGTCGGATAGAGATCCGCGATTCACTTCGAAATTTTGGGAAGGATTGCAGAGGGCTTTGGGTACTAAATTGAGGTTGAGTTCAGCTTACCATCCTCAGACTGATGGACAGACGGAGAGGACGATTCAATCATTAGAAGATTTATTGCGTGCTTGTGTTTTAGAGCAGGGTGGAGCTTGGGATAGCTATTTGCCATTGATTGAGTTTACTTATAACAATAGTTACCATTCGAGTATTGGTATGGCTCCGTTTGAGGCATTGTATGGCAGACGGTGTAGAACACCTTTGTGTTGGTATGAATCTGGAGAGAGTTCGGTAGTTGGACCAGAGATTGTTCAGCAGACTACTGAAAAGATCAAATTGATTCAAGAAAAGATGAGAGCTTCTCAGAGTCGTCAGAAAAGTTATCATGATAAGAGGAGAAAGAATTTAGAATTCAGTGCTGGAGATCATGTGTTTATGAGAGTTACTCCGATGACGGGTATTGGTCGGGCGTTGAAGTCTAAGAAGTTGACTCCGCGTTTTATTGGTCCGTTTCAGATTACGGAAAGAGTTGGAGAAGTTGCTTATCGTATTGCTTTACCTCCGAGACTTGCGAATTTGCACGATGTTTTTCATGTTTCTCAGTTGAGGAGATACATTCCAGACCCATCTCATGTAATCCAAATAGATGATGTACAGGTAAGAGATAACCTGACAGTAGAAGCATTGCCTATGAGGATAGAAGATCGGGAAGTGAAACAGTTAAGAGGTAAAGAGATAGCATTAGTGAAGGTTGTTTGGGGAGGTCCAGCAAATGGAAATATCACTTGGGAGCTGGAGAGCCAGATGAAAGAGGCTTATCCAGAGCTGTTCGTCTAAGGTATGTTTTCGAGGACGAAAACTCTTTTAGTGGGGGAGAGTTGTAACACCCCGTTTTCAATTAATTGATTTATTTGAATTTGGGAATTTATTTTATTGGAATTAATAAAATAAAAAGAATTATTTATTTTGGAATATTTGAAGAAAATAAAAGAAATAAGGAATATTGGGATTTTTATGTTATTGGGCTTAGATGTTGTTAGTAAGAGTGGGGGTGCAGAGAAATAAAGTTATGTTTGGGACTTAGGCCATTTTCTCATTTTTGGTTTTCACGTAAGAACAGAAGTTAGAATTTGGGAAAATAGAGCTCTGAAGAACGGAGAACGAAGAACACCGCCCAAGAACTCAAAGCTGCTAATTGATAAGGTAAGGGGGGTTTATACTCGATTTATATTTGTTTATGGGTTTATGTACGGTTGATTCGGGTAATTGTAGGAAAGTCCCAATTGTTAGATGTTTCTAGGGATCGATAACCGTAGGACTGAACCTTGTTAGAAAAGGGTTAGGTTCCCAAAATTTTATGAATCGATTAAGAGTTTTAGGTCCCAAATGAGGAATTGGGATATATATATCATGATCGTGAATTTACCTTGGAAGTTGTAGGGATAACCTCAGTGTCAGTGGAATTCCCCAAAGGGACGGTTAATCCCCGATTAAGGTTATTATAATAATCGTTGGTAACTTGGATATTGTGGTGTTGTTGTGAATTGTACAAACTCGATGCGTTAGGTACTGAAATGCGCGTTTTGGCGGACGTTTTCCCGCGTTTGGACTGCTGTTTCTGAGCTGCTGCAGGTTCAGGAAAATCCTGTACGCGCTCAGCAACACGGGCCGTGTTGCACAACACGGGTGGCCGTGTTGCTCCTCTGAGTGGGAAGGGGTGTGCTCCTGGTTGCACGACACGGGCCGTGTTGCACAACACGGGTACCCGTGTCAGAGCCCCTGTACTGATAAAAATTAATGTGCATTTTTCTGGACGTGCTGTACAACACGGGCCGTGTTGCACAACACGGGTGCCCGTGTTGCTCTGCTGTGATGATTTCTGAATTTTTGATTTCAGTGTTTTGATGTTGGATTTTTATTGCCATGCTTTTAGATATGTTATCGAGCATGAATTATGATATAATTGATGTGATTGGTTGATGTTTGAATAGTATGCTGAGTGATTACATGCTATTCGTAACTTGATATGATTTATGTTTAAATGGTATGCTGAGTGGGTACATGCTGTTTCATATCATGTTATGTTTGATATCGTTGATGTGCATGATATGTTGATCGATGTTCATAGTATGCTGAGTGTTACATACTTACATATCATGTTGCATTGTTAATTCCCATTGTGTGGAATTAACATGGTGGCCAATATACGTGTCCGCGATTTAATGGAACGTTGAGGTGGTAGCCGTGTCCGCGATATAATGGAACGGTGAGTTATCCGTGACCCGCGATTTAATGGGGGCGGTGTAGTGGTACCACATGCATGGGTGTGTTGCATTACTCGAATATAACATGAATGGATGACTTTTCCAATGTTATATTTGATTGTTTGTATGCACGTATGATTTGATAAATGGTTGATGATGTTTGATGAATATTTGCAAATATGAAAGGCAATATGTCATGGATATATGAATTGTAAAGGTTTTGTAAACTAGGAAATATGCTATTGATTGGGTGATGCTTATGATTTCGTGAATTGATCGTTATGAATGTATAACCAAATGTATATTTGAGAAGCTCACCCTTACTGTTGAATATTTCAGATTGAGGAGTTTCGCTCAGGTGCTTGGCGAAGGCTTATCGTGTCTAGTTTAGTTTCGTTTTAGTATGTCCGGGTCATGCTCTGATAGTTGTAACTCCGGGAACGTTTGGTTGTCGAGCTGCTTTAGTCAGACTCGTGTATTCTTTTTATTATTGTTATGATATGATGTTGACTTTCCAGGTGTTAATCCCTGATGATTTGGAAATTATTATAACATTTGATTTTATTAAATAAATTATTCCGCTGTGTAGACATGTATGAGTTACCACTAGAATTATGCATGACAGGGATTTATTTTATTAAAAGAGAATTGTAGCATTCCTCGATTATTACATGTACTCTGAGTTTATAATTTTTAATATTTGCGAAAATTATATGCGGGTTTTAGAGGGTGTTACAGATTGCACCATTGGAGATACTCTTAGAGTAAATGGTAAAATGGTAGGAGAGTAAGTTAAAATAAAAGGATGAGCCGACTAATTCTTATGCAGTACTAGTACTAGTAGTCCCAACAGGTCAACTCATAGAAGCTTAAGTACCATGTTGATAAACAATTAAAAACGAACACCTATTCTGAACTTTTCAATAGATTTTTCAACGGACTTGATCAGACTTTCTTCTAAGCTCTCCTACAACAATTCTCAATCTTCCTAATCATTTAAGTACTTATAAGTTATATATACCCCAAAACACACTTCATTTTAACTTGCTTAAACTTCTACCACAATAATCAACTTCATAACATTTTTTCTTCACTCAACTACGATAATAATATGGTAGAAGCACAAAACCACAGCGGTAGCAAAAGACGCTGTTGCTGTTGCTGCATCTTCAACAAAGTTTGGAAGTTTCTCTTAGCAACAACCATCTTCGTTGCTCTCATAATGCTCATTTTATTCCTCGTCATCAAACCACGAACCTTCAAATTCAGTGTCAATGAAGCCAAACTCACCCAATTCAACTACACCACCAAAACCAACACCCTCCATTACAACCTCGTACTCAACTTTACATCACGTAACCCAAACAAAAACCTCAACATCTACTACGATGAAATTAACGGACATGTATCCTACGAAGGAACAAGGTTTGCTTCATCAAACGTTATAACAAGGTTAAATTCATTCCGTCAATACACGAAGAGCACCAACCGAATGACCGGTGTTTTCTCCGGGAAACGTGTTGTTGTTTTTGATCGTGATCAAGCTTCTGATTTTATCCGTGATAAGAAAAATCGAGTTTTTCGTATTGATGTGAAATTATATTTTAAACTCAGATTTGTGCTTGATGATTTTTACGTTGGACATAGTAAGGGTAACATTAAATGTGGACTTTATGTTCCTTTTGATTCTAATGGGACTAAGGTCATAAATGCATTTCAACCCACCAAGTGTCATGTTAATTTCTGAGGGTCATTGTTTCACGACCATCACTTGTTTGTGGGATTTGTTGTATGAATTTTTATTTTTATGTACCTTTTATTTTTGTAATATTTTGGATTTTATTAAGTATATTTACAAACTATTCTTTTTTTGCCCATGCAGGATCATGGATTTTAAACGTGTTTCAGTTGAATAATGAATTTAATTTGGAGTATGTTTTATTATAGATTAAAATAACAGATTAATTGTTATTCATCCGCCTATAAAACTTTTTATATCATCAATCCATCACAAATATTAATTTGTGTTACTTTACCAATGATTATAAGGAAAGTCATACTTCTCTAACAAATAAGTGGTTATAGGACTAGTACATTTTGGTTTTTTAAAAAAGTGATTTTTTTTTTAATATTATATAATTTTGTATAAAATTTTTTTTTCATAAAAGTTTCAAATAAAAATTTAATTTAAATAGTTATTCTTAAAATTTTATTTTAGATATTTTATTATTTTATTGAATTTTTTTTTGAAATATAGAAAATTTCAAAAAATCACTTAATTTTAAAATTATTTCAAATAGTTTTTCATAAAAATTATATTTGAGATAAAACTTTTTGAAAAATTTTGATTTCGAATATATTTTGATCATCAAAATTAATCTTTTAATTTAAAAAAACTAATAAAAAAACTTATTATATTTTAAAAAATGATTTTATAAAATTTATTTTTAAAAATACAAATAAACTCATTTTATTAAAGCTAAAACAAACATATCTATAATTGACTGACGGTGTAAAAAAATTAAATTATCAATACATTTCAATTAAATTCTTAAAAGAAAAATATATGATATAACTAGTTTAATAATTAATTTTTAAAAACTAATTTTAAAAATATATACATTATACTTGAATAAACACTAAAATTAAAAAATTAAAAACATAAATTTTCAACAACATATGTTTTATTGTTGAACATGTACTTCTCTAGATAAAAAAAAAGTTTATATAAAGATTCTTTCATGAGCTTAAACATCAACTTGTCTGGCTTATCTTTACCTTTGAATAAAATGTTATATTTGTAGTCGGGTCGGAAGTGTTAGAATTTTTGAATCTCTCTTATATGGGACGAATGCCAAAAACAATGACATATTAGTTAAATGTGTTGAATTCATGACCCTGCACATGATTAAAGTAGTATCTATTATTGGGTCAATTTACTTCTTTATATATATTTTCAAAATTGATATTACATGAATATTGTTTATTATTTATTACATAATTATCATTTTGCATGTATGCTATTTATTCCAAATACAACACGTTAATATTATATAGTATATATTCCAAAAATTAAAATATTATTTTATATAGTATATTATAATTATATTAAAATTAAAAATATTAAACATTCATTAAAAGTATTAAATTAATATTTATTATATAAAAACTGAAAATACAAATAAAATTGAAAATATTAAACATTCATTATTTTAATATTTAATAATTATTATTAAATAAAACTAAAAGTATTAAAAATATTTAATAAAATAAATAAAATTATTAAATATCAAATTATTAAATATCAAATTATTAAATAAAATAAAAGTATTAAATATGAAAAATATTTTTTATAATTACATTAATAAACTGGAATAAATAAAATAAAATAAATTGAAATTAAATATAATTATATATATATTTAATAAAAAATTAATTTATACTCAGAAGCAGTAACTTTGTTTGTGCAATCAATAAAGGTTTGTTTGATTTTTCTTAATTCTTGCAACTGTAATAATTTAATAATATTAAAATAATAGAAAAATAGAATAAATAAAAATAGTGTTTCCACGTCAAAATAAAAATATATAAATGTCCACGTGACGTTTCTACGTAATAATAAAATAAATAAAAAAAGCCAATAAAACAGTGCCATGTCACCTATTGTGTTGACCAAATCCAGTTAGGGAAAAAATCAGGGGAATCTACAAACGACAAGAACATAATCTGTGTTTTTTTACAGGGTTGCTTTTGAGATTTGTCTCAAATGGGAGGGGACAAAATAAGTATTAACCTTTAATTATAAGTTTGTAACTAAAAACAAATTTCATGAAAGGTTAGATTATTTTGTAGATATCATAAGTCAATATCTAATTTGATGAGACGGAAAATTAGAATATTGAAAACAAAGAAATAACCATAAGTTTATTTATAGAGGTTATGGTCCCCATCGTAGACAACGTGAAAACGACTCATCGGGAAAATTCTTTCTTCATCCCTATCAGGAGATTCAATGAACCATAAGAAACTCTACAAACCAGAAGATCAAGTACCAGCCAATCTTCAGTGATTCTCAATGTCAAACTCAAGTACGCTTCCATCTTTATTCTCATAATTGTATTCGGATATGGATATAAGGGATTAGATTTATGTTCTTGATTTCTATATTGATAGAAGTTACAAGGTTATGAACATATCAAACGAAGCTATCTCAATACGATATCTTGTTTTCACAAGAAACATCAATAAATCTTAAGTCCTAGTAGATTTCTTAGTTGAATCCACCTCGCGAATTGGAAAGAAAAACCCTTATGTATGGGTGTTATTCGTCGATAGAGCTTGTAATCTAACAGAAAGTGGGGCAGGGGAAGTGCTCAAATGACCATTAGACATCCTGATTGAGTATTCATTACATTATGATGTCATCCGCAAGTTGGAGAATTTGATAATTTATTCCCTATGATACTTGAAAGCAAATAAGTTCTCCAAGTTGAGATTCACTTTGAGTTAATTTAGCTAGACATTCGACATGAATCAAGAATAAAAAAATACGCAAAATGTTATCTCCCTAATGCATCCCTCGACCAACTTTAAATTAATCGATATGGCAATCATTTGTAATCATTGGCATATGCCTATAAATATTTCAAGCCTTGTCCAATTAACCCGTTTACTCCCAACTCACATTTTTCTCATCATATAATTCAGGTAGTCTTTATTCACACAATCATATACTCTTTTCAAAATCGACTTTAAAAAGTAGACATTTATCCTTTCTTCGTGTCTATGATTTCATACACCACCACCACACCATCTAACATTTGCCTATTTAGAAAAAAAGTTGTTTGATAACTAGATATTATATTTCCCAAACCCTTCTTAAGTCTTGCTGCTAGTATCTTGAATATGATTTTGTAGAGAAATTCGATGAGACAAATTGATTTATAATTTCCAAGCTTTTTAGGATTATCAAATCTAAAATATAAGAAAAGTTTATAATTTCTATTGAATGTCTCTGGCTTCGACACTTGGCTTGCTTAGAAGCAAAAATTTTTTTTGCCTCAAAACCTTATTCTCTACCATTGCACGCTTCATTCATCATCACATGTGTTGCGGTTACCATTCCCTTCATCAAGTGTTGCGGTTACAAAACCCTACGTTTTCAATATCTTCCACTTCTCACCGTTCCACTGCCACTGATGCATTCAACCGCCCCACTATCCATCACGATTCCACTATTTATAACCTCCATACTGGTTGCTACTTCCTCATCTTCATCTCCTAGAAATACCCAACCGTCAAGTTTTTCCTGCTTCACGCAAATAATTCTGCTTCATGGCTAGACCTATGGCGAAAATCTGTGACATCAATGACATCAAAAAGCCGTGGAAGGTCTCTATGCGAGTGCGTCATAAATGGAAGGTTCTGTCTAACAACAAAGAGCATTTAGAGATGATATTTATGGACAAGGAGGTAATTTTTGTTTTCTGTGCATATGTGAATCATATGATGTGTTATGTTTATTGTTTTTTGGTTACACATTAACCTTTTCTATGTATCTGTGCTGCACAGGGTGGGGACATACATGTTGTTGTCCGAGCAGCACATGTGGCTTTGTTTGATGATAAATTGGCATTGGACCATACTTACACGGTATCAAATTTTAAGGTTAAACCTAATGTGTTGGCTTTTAGACCTTGGTCGCACAAATTTTTAGTCAAGTTCACGGGAGGAACGTCTGTAGGTGATGGTAACCAGAATGAGATGCCGCCCAAGACGCTGGTGTTTACAAAGTTTGCTAATATAATCACTGACAACTTTAACAAGGATGTTCTTATAGGTGATTTTTTTTCCGCATGTTTTGTTTTTCAACCTTTATTTTTTATATGTTGTTTTGCTCTTATGTTCATTCCCTGTTTTTTGTTTTCTAAGATGTAATTGGTATAGTTGAGAGTATTGGTTATTCACAAACATAGTGGGTGGCAAAAAGCAGAAGCTTAATATGGTATTAAGGGACAACAGGTTTGTATATCTTCTTCCAAAAATTCCTCTAATTTGAATGTATGTTCCCTTCGTGATTAAAATCATGCTGATGTATTATTTGTGTAGCAACAACACTATCAATTGTACCCTATGGGAGTCATATGCTAAGCAATTCTTGAAGTTCAACCAGGAACAAGGGGATGATTCGGGATCGACTTTTGTTATGATTCGATATGCAAAAGTCAAGGAACAAGGTTAGTTGGTTTGTGGTGTTATTAGGTAATAAATTATGTTATGTAAATTCAGACTCACATGTTACTATACTAGTGTAGGAAAGTTTCTGTTGTTGGTGACTAACACCTACAATGTCACAATGCTTTTCCTCGATACTGATTTGCCACCAATTAAACAGTTTATGGACAGGTAGATTCTGTGTAATATCACTTATGATGTATCCTACAATTGCTTATTTTAATATTTCGCTAATTTGTTATCCATGCATCATGCCTAAGGACTCAATGATTATTGTATATGGGCAGCTAGCCAGTAATTCTCAACGAAACTCTGAGAATCATCAGCTCACTCATGTTCAGAAGTTACTCTCTAAGGCTGTCGTTATGCCAATTGCTGATATCATTAAACTTGGATTTGTATGTACCCCGTTGCTTTACATGTTTTCCTAATTTATTTGCTTATTTGTTCACGTGATTGCTTTATCAGCATATTGTATTAGAGTTGTGTACCGTATATGTAGGTTAAATTTTG